ACACGTGGGTCACGCACGCACGCACGTACACACGCATGCACAGACGCATGACACGTACACTTACACACGTGGGTCACGCACGCACGCACGTACACACACACGCACAGACGCATGACACGTACACTTACACACGTGGGTCACGCACGCACGCACGTACGCACACACGCACAGACGCATGATACGTACACTTACACACGTAGGTAACGTACATACACACACATACACACACATACACACACATACACACCAGTTCGTTCTGGATGGCCTGGATCTTCTCGCGCGCGACCTCAGCGTTTGCCTTCTTGCCCGTGATGAGGATCACATCAGAGTTGCTGTTCTCTGTTGGCAGATCGATCTTTGTATCCGTCTCCTCTCGAATCTGCAGTGACACAGACAGCATTACAGAGGTAGAAATTAACTTTTGAACAAGGGAGCCCATCGGACTCGCTGCCCTCAAATAAGGGGGACTCAAATAGAGGGGACTCAAATAGAGGGGACTCAAATAGAGGGGACTCGCTGCCCTCAAAAAGAGGGAGTCCGCAGCAAAATGAGGGAGTCCGCAGTCTGAAGTTCAAAATTAAAGATATTCACAATAACGCATGTGCATATTTGGAAGATTCATGCGGTTGCACGTCTGCCAAATTTTCTTTGGACTTTACTGAAAAAATATGGTAATTCTGCGAGGCCGTGCTCTGGAACGAACTAGTTAGCATAGCAGAATTTTCAGGGAGTCACACAACTCCTGCATACGTCAAATCAGGGAGTCCGACAGGAAATCAGGCAGTATTTGACTCCGGACTCGCATTAATTTCGCACCCTGGCATCAAAGCCATATCACTACACATGGAGTCGCAAACGTTGACACAACCAGGGGTACACACATGGTGGTATTCGAGTCTCACTAAGGACAGTATCACCGTGTTTCGACAGGGACTTTTCTTTCGATCAGAATCTCCCGCACAGATTAATTTCAAATTTAGCGACGCTTGTTGCAAGTGACGTATCCAATTAGCACATGCGTTGTCATTGGCAACTTGATCTCAGAAAAACACATTTCAATAACACACTTCACTCTACCCACACCCCACGTTAGTAAATGTTTGACAGTGTTATTTCTTACACACAAACATGATTGCATCAGCCGCCTACCTTCTTGATAGTGGCGCCACCTTTGCCAATGACGTTCTTGTGAAACTGCTTGAAAATCGGCACTTGTATTTGATAGTTACTCTCAACCTGATGGGAACAGAAACCAACAATATATGAACAACATATAGCACGCACGATCATGCATATATCGTACGTCTACATGCACGTTATGTAGCTCTACAGCTACAAAAACTCAAAATTCCGCTTGGGAGCCAAAGGCTTATCGGATTCAGCATACTCGAATTATGTTAAAAAGTCTGGTTCCCAACTTTTACCCCAAAATGCCCCTACAGCCGGGCTTATGTCGGGTTGCGATTGAATGTGACTCGATGCGACTGCAGTGCTTAGGTCGACTGCGACGCGACTGCCTGCGACTGGCCGCCACTAGCTGTTCGGAATAGAACGGTGGGCAACTGGCCGCAACCGACGATTTTCCAGTTGCTTTCAGTCGAGTCGGCTCGCAAGCCCGGCATAAGGCCTGTTTAACATTCACATTTTTCAGAAATCCCACTAGTGTAATGTAATGAGATATTGAATGAATACGCGAGGACGACATAACGGCGGGATGTTGTACGCACCAGCTCCTTCGCGAGAGCCTGCAAGTACTTGAAACACTTGTCGACATCTTCCTTGGCACCTCGGATCGTCACGACGTCACTCTTCCTTCCCGCTTCTGGGAATGTTATATTCACCTGTTGTTCATAAAAGCAATGTCATGTACCTAAGTTAATCGCATTTTTATACATTTCAAACGAAAAAACCCCAAATTTTGCCCACGATCCACGCACCTAATTCAAACCCATTCTATGGTACACATGATTAACAGATGGAGCTAAGACGGATACACACTTATTGGGTTAAACTTATCTCTAATCTCCTCAATAATCTCTGTGTGAGAGAGATAAAAAGTTATTGGATTAAACTTCTCTCTAATCTCCTCGATTCTCTCTAATCTCTCTGGGAGAGACGAACAATTAATTGGGTTAAACTTATTCCTATTCTCATTGACTGTTGACTCAAAATAATCTTGCACTGACCCAACACCTACTTGGTTAATGCTGTTTCGAATCTCACCGATTTTCATTAACCTCTAACCTCCACGATCTGTTCACATTAATCTCCTTGCTTTTATAACCTCCCAGCAAACACACACTTACTTGGTTGAACTTGTCTCTAATCTCCTTGATCTTGTCACCCTTGGTGCCAATGACAGTCCGATGGAAGCGCTGTTCAATAAACACGTCCCTGCTTTTCTCGTTCTCCTGCAACACAAACGTCCCCGCTATCAGATCCACATACGGTTGCCGAGGCAACAACGTCACGTGACACGGAGCAGCATCTAGTTGCCATGGCAACAGCGACATATTACGCGGTGTGGGCTCGCATCGTCCGTGTCTCGTCACCATGGCAACGACGACATACGGGACGTGGGGTGGACACGGATTGTTCGAACCTCGTCGCCACGGCGACAGTAAATAACATATCCAAACGATCGCGAGTAACGCAGCCCAAGAGATGAACTAAATGTTCTATGCGTTAAATCAGTGCTTCCTAAACTGGTGAATGGTTCACCCAAGGGCGAATGACATTATTTTAGAGTAAATGCATTAATTTAGGGTGAATGAAACTTAGGACCAAAAACACAAGGAAATCGAGTCGCGGGTGAATGAGATTTTGTGAAGAAGACCCGAATGAAGTGGTGATACAAGGGTGAATGACACTGAAGTAGTTTAAAGTGATTACGTCACCATAAATACTAAAAGTAAAAACATTACTTTAAAACATTAGTTTAAAGTAAAGTATGTCCACTTTTCACAAAATGTAAGTAATTCTGTTCACTTTTTATGGTTAAATTGCTGCATTATACTTCCTATTTTACTATAATTCCGTTCGATGTATACAAACACTCGTGACTCATACATAGCCCATACATGCCATAGCAAGCATTTAATGTCGTGATCATAATATCAAATCGCCCAGGTTTTTTTATTTTTGGGAAACAATCTTATCAGGTAAAAATTTGAGGAAACATTTAGTCCCGTTAGTACCGACTTTTAATGTAAAAAAATTGCAACAATTTTTCCCCCCAAATATACACCATGGAAAATTCGTGACGTAGTCAATTTAAGAAGCAATGCGTTATTAGATCATTGCAGGTGTAAAAATGGATTTACAACCAATACACTGCCAACTTTGTGTTGGTGAATTGCTGAATTGTACCAACTTCGCAATTTCGCAACTGACAATCGGCAGTGTAAACGCAAAACACGTTCAACCGATCGATAGCAGCTAGTTGGGAGATTAGAACATGTTCTAATTCGGCAATTCGGCAATTCGCCAACTCAAAGTTGGCAGTGTAAACCCAGCGTAAGGCTCACCATTTTGACGACCATCTCCATGAGTTCGTGTCGCGCCCGCTGAACACCTTCGCGCGGGCCCTCGATGCGAATCACGTTGCTCTTCTCATTATCCGACGGAACATTGATCTGAACGCCGGTGTCATTCTTGATGCGGTTGACTGCAAAGCAAGCAAATGTGAAGATTACAAGACCATAATAATAATCATAATAATTTTGTCGAGGGCACGCGTTGGCCTTAGCCGATGCCATCTCGGGTTCCACGAATATGTATTCATGGTTCCATGCTTAGCTAAATGTGTGCGAGGGTCGCTACACCGTCCGCTACGCTTCGGTACTCACTGTTAGCG